ACAATGAGTTTACACACCATTGCACTGCTCCTTTCTCTATCATATTAAGAGTATCTCCAATCCACTAAGCATATAATACTTGTTAGTCAAAATGTATAATATGACTCACTTTTTTCAACTCCAATGCTCTAGGCATATGATTAGACATTTTAGTTCAACTCACATTCACTAGTTATATGTGGCTAGCCTTTGAAGGTTAGGCAAAATGTATTTAATCATTAGGATCATTTCTCTCTATCTTTGTTGTTGATGTGACATTCTATAAAATTAATCACTTTGTTTCCAGTTTTCATAATTCGCTTTTCAAAAAATTCTTTTTTTTTTCCGTTTTTCGTATTTTTTTGTTTTTATTGATTTTTTTAATATTTTAACTAATTTTTTTAATTTTTAGATACACCTAACATAAATATACTTAAAAAGTATAATATTTGTGAAAAAAAAAAATCTTTAACAAATTCACTAAATATCAAAAATGCAAAATTCAATACATTTTTCGTATTTTTGTGTATTTATTATTTTTTAAAAATATTTTTCACAAATAATTTAATATTTAAATACATCTAAGTAAAGTACATCTAAAAAATTAAAAAAATTTACTTAAAATTAAAAAAATATTTACTAAAAATAAAAAAACACGAAAAACAAAAAAAACTCAATTTTTAGAAAGTTGAATTCAAAAAACTCAAACCAAACACACTGAATAATATTTAGATGCATAGTTAAAATAAAGAATATAATTGAAATAAAAACATGAAATAGCTAATAGGCAAAATAAAATATATGTTTTAGAAAAATGTTTCTGACCCCCTCATAAACCGACCCCCACGACCCCCTCTGAGCTGGACAGGCATGTGATCGGTCATGTGATATACAGGGGCCACGCACCTCCTCTTTCAGAATTCAAAATGGAAAATACAGCTCTATGACATCGTTGACAAGAGAGATGAGAGGCAGACAGCTCCGCTGCTCCCCTTCACTCGAACGACAGCTCATCAACTTCCAACTTCGACGGCCGACTCCCTCAGGTGCTCCCTTTCAGTCCGACGTCCTTGACTCCGATGCCCGACTCTCGACTCTCGACTCTCTCTCTCTCTCTCTTTCCATCTCATTCGACGGATGACTCCTCCCCTTCACGCCGACGACAGGTCCTCCTGACGCCCTACTCTATCCTCCCGAGTCCCGAGTCCCTCTATTTCCATCCCATTGATGACGAGGTAATCCGGTGTGTGTGTGTATATATATATATATCTATATATGTATCTTGCTAAAATTAGGGCAAAATTCCTCAATTTGAAAGACAAATTTTGTATCTTGTTGAAATTGAGTATATAAGTTAGGCAAATTGTTGAAAGAGAATAAATCAGATTTTACTGAAATTGAAACAAATTTGTTGAAATTTCTCAAATTGAAATTGAAATTTCAGATTTTTGCTGAAATTGAAATTGAAATTGAAACAATATTTCTCAAATTTGTTGAAATTTTATATTTTTGTTGAAAGAAAAGAAATCATAGGCATCGGGCAAAATTCAATTATGTAAAATCTGAGATGCAAAGCCATAGACAAAAATGTAGTTAATTTAAAACTAGATAGGTAAAATCTAAAATAGCCATAATTGAGAAATCAGATTTTACATCATGTATAGCCAATCTTTCTTTTCTTTTAGATTTTACCTAACAATTTTCCTATAAGTTTCTAATCTTCCTATTAATTACTGAGATGCAAAGCCATAGGCATAGCCATAAGAAGATTGAAAACTCAATTCTGTAAAATCTGATTTGTCAATAGTTTGGCTATACATGATAAATCACAATTATGTATCTCAATTTTAAATCTCAATTATGTATCATTGAGATACATAACTACTGAGATGCAAAGCCATAGGCATAGCCATACTCTCTCTCAATTATGTATCTCATTCAGTTATCATAATTGAGACACATATGTATCATTGGCAATTATACATTACTGATTAATGCATAGCCATAGGAAGATTGAAAACTGATTAGACTGATTAGTGCATATTCATTGAACTTATACATAACTGATTAGTGCATATTCACTGAACTTATTGTCAACTTGAATGTAGAATAATTATGAGACTAAACATGGAATTGAGTATGGGAATTGAGCATGGCGTTTTGACACTAGTTTAAATGTAGTCTTTATTCACTATACATCATGAGTTGAAATTATCTTTATTCACTAGTTTAATGAGGATAACTTGTTATTGTAGATGTCAAGTTCAACTGTCAACGGCAGTAGCTCAGATCGGTTGACGTACTTGAACAAAAATTGTCCTACATGTAATAAAAAGGCCATTATTCGAATTTCTGAGACCGATCGAAACAAAAACAAGTTATTCTACTCTTGTAATGGTTGTGGTACTTTCATTGGATGGTGTGTGCCTATGAATTCACAATGTGGAGATCATGAAATTCCAAGACAAGTAGAAAGAGAACTGCTAAGATCTATGACGGAACAACTTCGAGCTATGACCGAACAACAAAGATCTATAACGGAACAACTTTCGAGCTATGACCGAACAACAAAGATCTATGACGGAACAACTTCGAATTCAGAGTGTAAAGATGCAAAAAATATAATTTCTGATATTTGTGTTGCTTGTAATTGGTGTCTTATTACTTATGAAGATGTAATGCTAGTTAGAAGTAGAAGTAGAAGTAGAAATAGATTGAACTATGTTTTGTTGTGAAATGGAATATGTATTAGTAAGAAACAGTTTGATTGTCATTATGAACTGTGAAGACAGATTTTATTGGAATGTTTTATTGGAATAGAGCTGTGAACTATGTTTTATTGGAATGGAATATGTATTTATGAACTGTGAAGACATATTTTCTTATTGCATGGAAATGTTTTGTTGTGGCATGGAATGATGTGTTTTTGTTGAATTGTTGAAGTCTTGATGATTTTCACATACAGATGATTTTGGTGCATGGAATGGAAATGAACCAACATGGAATGATGTGTTATTGTTGAATTGTTGAAGCCTTGATGATATTCACATGCAGATGGTTTTGGTGCATGGAATGGAAATGAACCAACATGGAATGATGTGTTATTGTTGAATTGTTGAAGCCTTAATGATATTCACATACAGATGGTTTTGGTGCATGGAATGGAAATGAACCAACATAGAATGATAATGTTACTGTTGAATTGTTTGAGCCAAAGTCTGTCTTGACAGTTTGACACAAAAATAGTTTGACACAGTTTGAGCATGAACCATGAACTGAACCATGAACCATGAACTGAGCCATGAACTAGTTTGAGCATGTACCATGAACTGAACTGAACCATGAACCAGTTTGAGATAGCTTGAGCATGAACCATGACAGTTTGAGCATGAACCATGAACTATGAACTGATTTTTAAACCATTAACTGATATTCAATTGATATTGCATGAACTGATATTGAAAGACAAATTTTTTTTTACAGATATTTTGAACCATGAACTCTCAAAAAATCATGCTCAAACACTGTAAAAATGCTCAAACACTGTCAAAATAGCAAAGTCAAAGACATATTTTTTTACAGATTTTTTACACCATGAACTATGAACTCAAAATGACCAAAGACAGATTGTCAAAATAAACCATGAACTCACATAAACCATGAACTGTGAAAATAACAATAACCAATAAAGTGGGACTTAATAAACATGAACTCAAATAAACTTTCAAAATGCTCAAACACTGTCAAAACCATGAACTGAAAGACCAATCTTGCATAACCAATAAAGTGGGACTTAATAATAACCAATCTTGCAAATTCATACACAAGATGTGTTACACATCTAACATGGGACTTAACATAATAAGTTTCAATCTCAAAAACAAAATGTCAATGTTCAACAACGTCCATCATTCATTCCTGGTGTACATGCATTAGAACCCAATGGGGTTAGAGATCCAGACCCAAAAATTTGAGTTGGAGCACTCATCAAACTTCTCGGTGTGCCGCTTACAAAGTCCGATGAGATAAGAGATGTGCCTCTAATAGCATTTACGACCTGTCATAATTGAAGTAAAAAAGTACATGTTACAAGATATTTGCAAATGAAAACAAGCAATTGATGTAAAGTCGTCTTATGAACACATACCGGTGCATACATACTATTTTGCATGCCAACCATATAAGGATAATACGATGTATAAGCTTGAGCTTGAGCTTGAGCTTCAAATTGAAGCACCTTAGCAGCCTAAATTGGTTCAAGAGTTTGTAAAAATGTACTTGAAAAGAGTTTGTTAAAAAAATAAAAAACAAGTTCAATTCAATATACAATTTACCTTTGCTTTTGTTTGTTTTTTTGCCGTTGCCTTGAACCGATTCACTATTTGATCTACTTTGGCAACCTTTCGTTTCGTAACTGGACGACCTCTTTGCCGAATAACCAAAGGACTAATCATCTTCCTCGTACTAGCACCCGATGTACAACCGGTGGCAAGTGGACTTTTTGTAGAAGATGGTATCCTATTAGTAGAAGGTGGTAAAGTACTCCCATTACCCAATTCGTCGTGCATGACTCTATCCTTCATTTCATCCAACCCAAGGTCTATAATTTTAATTTTCCCTTCCAAATTACCAACGCGTCGTACAATGGCGATCAATTTCTTGTTCTTCCTCTTATAGCAACTTGTATTGAAATCATCCCCAAAGCCAGTGTATGTGAGTTTGATGCATGTGTACTCTCGAACCAAATCTTTCCTTCAACATGGCATAATGTATTTACTTAGCACTTCATTTATGCACCTTCTCACAAGCACCGCGAGTGAGTGAGCACACATAATGCCTCTAAACTGAAACAACCGACACATACATTGAACTTTACATTCAATTGAATTAAAATACACAACAAAGTCCACACGCTTCATCTTGTCACAAACTACCATCGCTTCTTGGACATTATATGTACAAATTGCTCCCTCCTCTTTGACAATCAAGGCCTGACAGTAAACTAATCTCTTCAACTCTCCTTAAACTTCTTTGAATTTTGTATTGGTGTAGGCTTGCTGAAATTGCTTCTCAAAGCCATATATAGTTAGACAATCAAATAATTTGTGTCGAGACTTGAAGTCTGATTTCTTCTCTTCCTCTACCTTACTTCTCAATGCATTGTCATATTGTTCAACAAATTGTTTTAATGTAGTCTTTGGGTTGACATATTCATCAAAAAATGCATTCATGCTTTCACTTCGTTGTGTTGTTGACATGCCAGCCCAAAAAATGACTTTAACATATACAAGAACCCATCGATGCCGCTCATGATATAGTACCCCCAACCACTCATTATCATAAAAATTGAATTTAGTAAGCATCTCTTCCCATTTTTCCTCAAATTCATCTCTTGTCAAACAATCATAAACTACATTTTGCATAGCCAACTTTATGGGTTCATACTGAGCATATCCTTTCAACTTCTCTGGTATTTTCTTCATTACATGCCATAAGCACCATCGATGCCGGGCCTGTGGAAAGACAATTTCTATAGCATTTTGCATAGCTCTGCACTGATCAGTTATGATAGCTTTTGGAGAATTATTTGACATGCAATTTAACCACGACTTGAATAGCCAAACAAATGTGTCGGTATCTTCACTAGATAACAATCCATAACCAAGAAAAATAAACTGTCCATGGTGATTGACTCCTACAAATGGAGCAAATGGCATGTCATATTTGTTCGTCAGATAAGTTGTGTCAAAGGAAACAACATCTCCAAATGATTCATACATAGCCCGACTCCTTACATCAGCCCAAAACAAGTTTCTAATGCGAAACTCCTCATCAACATCAATCCCATACAAGAATTTCTCACTATGTGCTTGCATCCTCATAAAATAACTTTGAAGTGATTTGGCATCACCTTCACCAAGCCTTAATTTTCTAGCTCTATTAATGTAATTCTTTGCATCTCGCTCATCAAATGTCAATGACTCGTATCCCCCCGCTTCAACAACCATTGAATGATAGTTCCTAGACACCCCAATCCCTGCTTGATCATTGATTTCTAATCTTTTCTTCACAGGAGTACGAATTTTCTTATTCATTGCAAAATGACGAGAGTCGGTAGGAATCAAATCATGATTATGCTCAAGGTTAACTGTGGTTAACATATATGTCCCATTCTTTTGTAGAGTACCTCGTACCCTTGCTTTGCCACCAATTTTTGTGGACAAAGAGGGTTCACTTCTTATTTCTTTTTTCTCTCCCCCGCTCGACAACATTCAATTGCAAAGTTTTTTAATTGGCCATCATCTCCAAAATGTTGTGCTCTATAAGCTATAGAAAAGCCAACATGCTTAGCATATGTGGCATAAAATGTGTACACTTCTTCCCTTGAGCTAAAATACATACCCTTCTTAGGTTCTTCAACTTGTTCACCCTCATTTACTGAAGGATTGTCACCACCATTTGAATCAACCTCCATTCTATGAGACTCAAAAATGAAATTCAATTAGAATGATTTTAGAATAATTATTTTATAAGATTATTGGAAACTTTGAAACTATTATGTTCAAATTTAAATGTAAACTTTGAAACTGTTATGTTCAAATTTAAATGTAAACCTTCATTCTATGATTATTTACATGTTCACTCTCATAAATTTAAATGAAAACTTTGAAACTGTTATGTTCAACTTTACATTGTCATAATTTAAATTTATGGTATAACTAAATTATATCAACTTCAATTTCAACCTCAACCTCACATAGTCATGGTATATGTGATTTTGAAACTGTTATGTTCAATTTCAACCTCAACTTTAATTTCAAACTTTGAAATTGTTATGTTCAACTTCAACCTCACATAACAGAACCATACAGATGATTATACTGTTATCACATATTATCACAGAGATTGATCAATGTCAACTTCAACATATTATCACAGAACACACATATCACAAAGATTGATCAATGTCAACTTCAAAAACCATACAGAACACATATTATCACAGAACACATATCAACTTCAACCTCACTGTTATGTTAAAATGTTCATAATACAAACATTTCAACGTCTGTATGTGAAAATCATTATTTATAAGATGTTGTACTCATAAAAAAAAAACCATCTGTATGTGAAAATCATCTGTGTGTTATTGTTGAAATGAACCATCATTATTTATAAGATGATTTTCACATACAGATGATTTTGATCCCCAGTGTGTTATTGTTGAAATGAACCGTCATTATTTATAAGATTATATACAGAGATTTATCAATGTATGTAAATAGAGAGAGAGGGAGAATGAGGGGTTTTCGAGTAACATTACCTAACAAAATGTTATCGAAATGCGATCAAAGATCCGTAGAGCGAAATACAGAGAGTTATGGCAGGAGAGCTATGGTGAACACACGATGGAAGAGGGAAGAGGGACAGGGCCGTCGACGTTGCGGTAGCTTTCCGCTTTTTTTTTGGTCTTTGTTTTCAGCCTGTATTTTTTTTTTTTTGTCTTATAGGTGCGTGTATCACACCTTCCTCATTGTGCGATTGTTCTTCACATGACTTTAACAGGTGCGACCTCAAAGGGGGTCATGGGGGTGGCTTTTGGAGGGGCTCCGTATCGCGACTGTATATTTTATAATAATATTTGAATAGATAAAATACTATTATCATTGGAGATGTTCTAATAATCCGCTAGACCCCGTGGGTCGTGACCACTTACGCTGTGTTTAGTTAAGGGATTGGGGAATGGATTTGGAGATGAAAAGGAAAAATGTATATGAAATTAGGTAAAATATAAATATATTTTATTCACATTTTACCTATTTTTCTCCTTTCTCTTTCAAATCTGTTTTTGAATTCCCAACCAAACACAACCTTGAGAAGCTAACATGATCCAAGCCCCAGGCGCAATTTAGCCCATTCCGCATAACGAATGTCGTTTCGCTGCAAAGGATAAAATGAGCCTACTGCGCACGGCGCAGCTTAAGCAGCCAGTCCACTCTTCCAAAAGGATAAGGCAAACAAAGGCTTCTTCGCACTCATCATCATCAGAGTGGCCTCTCTCACTCCATGAATTCATCATCTCTTCTCAAGTCCTAACCAAGCTCTACCTCTACTCAAACCATGGCCTCTAACATTCTTCCTCAGGCACTCTCTCTCTCTCTCTCTCTCTCTCTCTCTCTCTATATATATATATATATATATGTATTTGTGTGTAGGTGTTTGTTTGATTTTGATTTTAAAGAATTGATTATGTGAATTGCAGGCGTTGTTTATGATTCCTAGAAACCCTACGCAATGCCATCGGAAGACGCTAGGGTTTTCTGCATTCCTCTCTCGTCGTCCTTCTTCGTTGTGTTCGATTTCTAGGGTTTCAATCAGTGCATTGGGATCGAGTCGGTCTTTTGTTGCCAGAGCGGAGTCGAATTCCGAAGGAGAAGCAGAAGCTACTACTGAGAATGTTGAAGATAATGAAGAAGCTGTTGATTCTGAAGCCCCTGAAGGAGAAGCAGAAGCAGAAGTGGAATATGAGATTAAAGCAGAAGTAGAAGAGGAAGCAAAGCCGCCGAGAAAGCCTCGGATCAAGCTAGGAGATATAATGGGGGTAAAATTCACTTCAATTTTGTTTAGTTGCAAAGAAAATTGGAGGAATGAAAATGAAAATAGCTTCCTGTAGTGTTACAGTAAGATTAAGGGCATCTCCAATCCTTGATTTTATTTTATTTTTATTTTTTTTAATAAAAAAATTATCAAATTCGAGTGAAAATTTGGTTAAAGCTTGATCTGGTATGGAACACTCCAATCGTTACTCTCTCTCAATCTCTTTTTCATCAAATATTTTTTAAAATTTTCAAACTTATCCCAAAAACTTGTTTTTAAACCATTTTTATGAAAGAAAATTCATATTCAATTCTTACCCTTTTTAAAATTTCAATAAATTTGAGTAAAAATAGGATGTTGGAAATTTGGTGAAGGATTTGGTTCAACATTGATTTGGTCATTATTTTGCTTCCTCCCTTAATTTGATACAAGTTTGATGAAATTGATTGGAGCTCACTTTAGCTCTTTATTCATCAAATTTGAATTTGATTAAAGAATTGATGAAAGATTGGAGATGCTCTAACAAAGCCAAATTTGTGGGTCAGGCTTAGTTGAGTATCACTTTGGGTTTTTTGAGAAATGAATAACGTAAGGTTCGAAGTGTTACTTTCATCTGATATCCTATATTTCAGCAACCAAAAGTGTAAATGGTCAATTTCAAAATTGGCTAAACATTTTGTAAAAATTTCTGTTTTCTGTTGATAGATTTTGAATAAGAGAGCAATTGAGGCGTCTGAGAAGGAAAGGCCAGTTCCGGACCTCAGGACTGGAGATATTGTGGAAATTAAGCTGGTATTTAGCTCTCTGTTTGTTTTTATTTTGCTTGTTGATTTGCGTTGTGGGAAGTTATATGATTTTGTTTATGTGATTGTAGGAAGTTCCAGAAAATAGGCGCAGATTGTCTATATATAAAGGTATAGTTATATCGAAGCAAAATGCTGGTATCCACACTACAATTCGGATTCGGAGGATAATTGCAGGCATTGGGGTCGAGATTGTATTCCCTGTGTAAGTATAACTCTGTGTGTTACTGCTCAAAATGAAGCTACAAAATTATAGTATGCAAAAAGTAAAATCTAAATTATTTGTTGGAATTTTTCAGTAATGCCTTTATTCATTGTCCTAAATGAACTTTGGAAGTTGAAAAGTGCAGTTGTTACTAACCTCAATGGGTTGGCCAAGTGATAAAGACTTGAGGATAAAATCCAAGGTCTTCAAGTCATTGTTCCCCTTCCTCACTTTAGGGTCCAATATACAGTCTACCAGGTGGCATTAGGAGCTCAAAAAAAACTCAATTCTTGGGGGGAAAAAGAAATTTGAAGCATGACTTTTTCTCCACTGTAGGACTTCTAGTAGGCATGAAACTGATACTGGTTCAGCAAAGAAACTCAACATTTCATTTACGAAAACAAAAACAGTATTTGGGAATATTATAGGAAGTATTTTAGGCATGCAGAGTATTTGGGGAGATGATAGAAGCCTTTTAGGTACAAGAATGGAGTCCTGCTGCATTTCCATGAGAAAGAGATTTTGGGGGTATCAAAAAGAAAGAAAATGTGCAAGATGAGGGGATATCAAGATGTTTATGATTTTTTATTTATTTATTTATTTATTTATTTTTGAGTGAATAAATGTTTATGATGTTATTCTATGGTGAAATGGTATTCTTGCCTTAACCATTAGAAAGTACAGACCATCTGTCATTTGTGCTGCTGAGCTAGGGTCCAACCTGCCAACTTTAGCATGCTGTTAGTCCATCCAGGGTTCAGACACTTAGTTCCATTAACCCCAATAAGTCAAATATTGGCCGTCTATTTGTTGATCTCTCCATGCGAGAAATAGAAACTGATACTTGTGTCATTATCCTTTTTTCAGTGTCTCGGATAGATATCTCATGTCTAATGTCCATATTGTGCTGTTATGACATCATTATGAGGGATGAATAGGGTTGATGCAGTCCATACAAGGCCAATGAGAAGTAAATATCTATATATATAATTCAGAAATTGGCATTATTTTGAGGTGGGTTTCGAAATAGCGACATGGATGATGGAACATGGACACGATATGGCATAGAAATTCTAAAATAGCAGGACATGGACATAGCAAGAACATGGGGTTTTATAAATATGTATGTAGTATATTTATATGATAACTTTGGTTTCTGTTTTTTAAATATATATTAGCAATTGCCTAGTGAGGAAGATGAAGCTAGGTAATGCCTAAGAAGCATGGACACTTCTAAAAAGGTAACGTATCCGTGTCGTGTCCGTGTCGGACACCGACACTCTTTGGACACTTTCCCGACACGTGTCCGACACTCTTTATAACGTGTCCTACCTTTTAAAGACCCGGACACTCTATGGACACTTGGAGGACACACGTGTCTATCTCTTAAACACACATGTCTATCAATTAGACACATGTGAAACTAATTATAAGTTTGAACAAAACAACTTAAGATACAATAATAAAACAAAAATCATATAAATTTATAGGGATTAATGTCATATTGCATTTTTTTATTATTTTTGAATGATATATTCATATATATAACATATAATAAATATATAAAATTATATATTTCATGCGTGTCCCCCGCGTGTCGTGTCTTACATTTTTTGAAAATTATCGTGTCGGCGTGTCCGTGTTGTATCCGTGTCGTGTCACGTGTCCGTGTCCATGCTTCTTAGGGTAATGCTATAGGTCCTAAATTTTCTACCAAATAAATGACTAAATATCTCACATGAATGTGAGGTTTGCAATTTTGAGATTTACAAAATTGCGGACCCCACACCCATGTGAGATATTTAGTCATTTATTTGATAGAAAATTTAGTATCCTTAACATTACTCGCATAGTATATGTTATTAAACTCTTCTACTACTATTCTCTTTCTATATATATATATATATATATATTAAAGTCTTAATAAGGAACCATTATAGGTGGGTGCAGTTATTGTATGCTGCCATTTGACACAATGATTTTATGTAATCTCACACGGCTTTTCCTAATACCAACATGACAAATCCAACAATTATCTTGCCAAAAATTAGAGATAGTAAAGAGATAACTCAACCTAGGTGATGCTGGTAATTGATTTTCTTAGTTTGCTCTGATGCTTTAAAGATATTTGTCATCCGAATAGAATCTGTCAGCTTGAGTTTTCTTCTTGCTGTGACTTATTTCTAGTATTTCTTTCGAAGATCTTGTCATTTTGTATCAAGGCAACTGGCCTTGATCAATGTTTACTGTTTTGTTGCGTTGTCATGGCTTAAATTTACAGCAAGGGAATTGGAACTGATCTGTCTTTCTTTTTTTCCACATGCAGGTATTCACCAAACATCAAAGAGATAAGAGTACTTAGCCACCGGAAAGTCAGGAGAGCGAGGTTGTACTATTTGAGAGATAAGCTTCCCAGGCTCTCCACTTTCAAATGAAAACCGGCGATGCAGCTTATTTTTGCCTTTTGGTGGCTCTTTCTCCATAACTTACCATGAAAATTGGAATAACTGATGAATTTGTCTTGAATCCCACTTTTGATGAATATAAAATTCTGTCTTTTTTGCTTGAGGTAATTAGTAAATACTGTGATGATTGGAAGATATGCATAATGCTTGTGCATATCCCTGTGAATACTCTTCAACATTTGACGTAGTTTTCACTCATCCCAAAAAATAAAAATAAATATAAACAAAAAAAAAATTGTGGTTTTTGCTTTTAAAATATATGGCGGAGTATAAGTAATTCTCTATTAAAGTTAAAAGTAAAGTAGGGCAGGTTAGTCTCCGTAAGAACATCTCTAAAAAGCAGTTATTGCTATAAGTCAGGGGTGGTTGGAATGATTTAAATAAGTGTAGTTTTTAATTTTTTATGAAATAGATATGGGTTGAGTTTGAAGTGGTGTGATAGAAAAGTGATGTGATTTAAATAAAATGATGTGATTTAAATAAAATAGTGATTTTTTAACTTATTAATTTTTTTAAGTTATGACAAATAAAACTTTAGTAATGAACAGTGTTAAAATATATTTTTTTTAACAATTTTGTTCCACTGATATAGGGATGGCAATGGATAACTTACCCTGTAGGTATTCATGGAGACTCAATCCAAATACATGGGATGTTTTTCTTTCTTTTTTTATCCATTGGGTAGGGTAAGTGATATTTTTTAAATATCCATAGGGGATGGGTTGGGGATGGGTACCCATTAATTTTTTCATATGTTATTTTATTTATTATTTATTTATTTATTTTATTTTAAGATTCGCAATCAAAACTAAATATATATTCAATTTTATTTATTTATTTATTTATTTATTTATTTATTTAGGTTCACAACCAACTTTTTTTTTTTTTAAGATCCACAACCAAAACTAAATATACATTTAATCTTATTTTTTTTTTATTTTGAAGGTTCACAACTATTTTTTTTTTTAATTTTTAAGATTCACAGCCAAAGCTAAATATACATTCAATTTTTTTTCTTTTATTTTTTTTTTAATTTTTTTTTTTAAGATTCACAACCAAAACTAAATATACATTCAATCTTTTTTCTTTTGTTTTTTTTTTTAAGATTCATAACCAAAGCTAAATATACATTCAATCTTATTTTATTTTATTTGGCTCAACAATAAAATCAAATACACATTAATTAACATTGTCACATTATTCTTGTCAAATTTTATGCATGTCTCGAATTTTTTAAATTTATTTAAAAAAATTAAGAACATTATGTAGTGCAAGTTTCGGTTTGCTTTTCTATATTATTTTATTTTGTTATGTATTGTAATTTTCAGAATGGTTTGCTTGTTCTGAAATTTCAATTAATGAGTATGAATCTATTTGTTTTATGTTATCACACAATTCATACAACATATATATATATATATATATATATGAGAGGGAGATTTGTGATCTGGATTGGGCCATGGGAATAGCCGGACAGATTTGGGCCGAACAAAGTGGGCCATGGCAGCATGGGCCTGTCCAGATAGGTTGGACCGAGCTGTTTGGCTTCATGGTGCAGAAACCGGTCAAGTGAGGATCCGATCGAGATATCCGCGGCCTCACTGGGTTCCACGGTTCGAGAGTTAGCTCGGTAGGAAGGCCAACGGTTAACCCGAGCTCGGTTATGCCGGGATGCAACCGAGCTCGGTCGTCATTTCATACGGCGAGCGGAGCGCTCTGGCTAGCTGCACAATATGGCCGTTGATAGCCGAGAAGCTGTAGCTCGGCTGCCAAGCTCCTAGTAAAGTGGGCTGGCAGTTTGGTTAGGTGGTGTTCAGCAAGATTTGTGCTGACAAATGGGATAGCAGCACCACGTGTTGAGAGACTAATGGGAGCAAGTTTGGGGCGCAGAAGGTATATAAACAAGTCTGCGCCCCCATGCTAAGGCAGATGAACATTTGGTGAGACTTACATTATACACTCAATCCTCTCTTTCTCTCTATCCCTGTATGTGTGTCTAACTTGATCGTCGGAGGGGTATTCCGGCCACATACCGCCGGGTAGCTTACCGCCATTGTGCTCGTAGATCGATCGGACAGACAGGAGCTTGGAAGAAAGGAATACAGGCTTGCCGGAATATTTGCTCCCCGTACAATTGGCGCCGTCTGTAGGAATCGAACCCACGACCACGTGTTGGAGATTCTGACGCGCGCGTAGAGAAGTCCAGCTTGCAAGACAGCACTTATCAACCCTCACGTCTAGCGACGACGTCGAGGTATTCTTATTCCGCTCGTTCAGAGGATTTGCGGGCAGTCTTGAAGGAACGGGCTCGCCGACGAGAGGCTCAGAAGGTGCCGGCGTTCCAGGGACTATCCTATGGGGTTCACGCCAGTAAAAGAGGTCGGAATGCCTTCACCCCGCCTCGCTGCGCCTCACCTTTTAGACACAGACTTGGCGAGGCTGAGCGCCACTCCTTTCTCCCTGGAGATAGAAATAACACCGCTTCCGACGGGCTTCCACCAGCCAAAGTTCACGTTCTACGACGGAAAAACTGATCCATATATGCATGTGAGCCACTTCCGACAGGTCATGGCCGGACATAGGCGGAATGACGCTCTTATGTGCCTTATCTTCCCGTCAAGTTTGGGCAAGCTGGGCTTGAAATGGTTCGAAAGGTTGCCGGAGGGAAGCATCGAGGGGTGGCAGCAGTTGGCAGAAGCCTTTGTGACACGCTTCAAAACTAACACTAAGACGCCGAAGGAAGTCGACCGCCTTTTCAGTGTCAAGATGGAGCCGAGCGACACGCTCAAGGCATACAACTCCAGGTACTAGGAAACCTTCAACGAGATCTTGGATTGCCCGGTCAACCTTGCAATCACCCAGTATAAGCGTGGTCTCCCGGTCGGATATAGACTGCGGGACTCGCTTACTATGCACCAGCCGACATCCATGGGCCAATTAATGCAGCGCATCAACGAGCACATCCAAGTAGAAGATGATGCGGCAGCATCTACCGCAAAGGCAACTCCGGTAGCAACAGACAAGAGGTCGGTTGGCAAGGTGCACATGGTCGGACAGGATACCAACCGTTCAAATGATCGCGCCGAGGAATCTGACCGAGGTTCAAATCGTCGAAACCGAGGTAGGGGTTGACGGAATGACCGAGATGAATACCCCCGCGACGACGTAGCTGATGCGAACAGAAGGTTGAAAGCCAGAACAGGTATCACTACGGTCTTTAAGATTCCAATTTATCGCATACTTAGCGAAATTCGTGACGAGGATTATGTCCGGTTTTCTATTAAGTTGGGCGACGGACAGAAGGGTTTCAATCCGCGGTACCATTGCACGTTTCACCGGGAGCGCGGCCACCGGACAGAGGACTGTTTGCCTTTGAGGCAACACTTGGAGGAGCTAGTAGCAGCCGGACACCTGGACCTTTACATTGACGGGGGCATGAAGGCAAATCCGGGAGGCTCAGAGGGTGCCGGCGTTCCAGCGACTATCCTATGGGGTTCACGCCAGTAAAAGAGGTCGGAATGCCTCCACCCCGCCTCGCTGCGCCTCACCTTTTAGACACAGACTTGGCAAGGCTGAGCGCCACTCCTTTCTCCCTGGAGATAGAAATAGTACCGCTTCCGACGGGCTTCCACCAGCCAAAGTTCACGTTCTACGACAGAAAAACTGATCCATATATGCATGTGAGCCACTTCTGACAGGTCATGGCCGGACATAGGCGGAATGACGCTCTTATGTGCCTTATCTTCCCGTCAAGTTTGGGCAAGCTGGGCTTGAAATGGTTCGAAAGGTTGCCGAAGGGAAGCATCGAGGGGTGGCAGCAGTTGGCAGAAGCCTTTGTGACACGCTTCAAAACTAACACTAAGACGCCGAAGGAAGTCGACCGCCTTCTCAGTGTCAAGATGGAGCCGAGCGACACGCTCAAGGCATACAACTCCAGGTACTAGGAAACCTTCAACGAGATCTTGGATTGCCCAGTCAACCTTACAATCACCCAGTATAAGCGTGGTCTCCCGGTCGGATATAGACTGCGGGACTCGCTTACTATGCACCAGCCGACATCCATGGGCCAATTAATGCAACGCATCAACGAGCACATCCAAGTAGAAGATGATGCGGCAGCATCTACCGCAAAGGCAACTTCGGTAGCAACAGACAAGAGGTCGGTTGGCAAGGTGCACATGGTCAGACAGGATACCAACCGTTCAAATGATCACGCCGAGGAATCTGACCGAGGTTCAAATCGTCGAAACCGAGGTAGGGGTTGACGGAATGACCGAGATGAATACCCCCGCGACGACGTAGCTGATGCGAGCAGAAGGTTGAAAGCCAGAACAGGTATCACTACGGTCTTTAAGATTCCAATTTATCGCATACTTAGCGAAATTCGTGACGAGGATTATGTCCGGTTTTCTATTAAGTTGGGCGACGGACAGAAGGGTTTCAATCCGCGGTACCATTGCACGTTTCACCGGGAGCGCGGCCACCGGACAGAGGACTGTTTGCCTTTGAGGCAACACTTGGAGGAGCTAGTAGCAGCCGGACACCTGGACCTTTACATTGACGGGGGCATGAAGGCAAATCAAGCCCTGGTTGATCCGCGTGAACCGGATGACTTGGAGGCACCCTCTCAGGGCATTATTAATGTCATCCACGGCATAGTGGAGCTGGCGCGTGTATGCGAGCTCCAAGGTATGATCAAGAAAGCAGAACACATGAGGGCAGTTTTGTCAGTCCAGCCCGCGATCAAGAGGGGGAAGACCGAAGAGAAGGACGCGATTAGTTTCTCTACAAGGGACCTAGAGCACATTCAGACGCCGCACAACGATGCCTTAGTGGTCACACTCCGCGTCAAAGAATTCGATGTCAAACGTATCTTGATCGATCGGGGAAGCTCGGTCGAGATCATGTATTACGACGAGTTCAAACAGCTCAAGCTCCGGGATACAGACTTGGCTCCAGCAACGTCGTCACTGGTTGGTTTCAACTCACAACCTGAGTGGCCTTTGGAAAAAATTATCCTGTCGGTCAAAGCGGGATCCGTGGTCAAGCAAGTGGAGTTCTGGGTGTTGCAGGTGCCATCTACTTATAACCTAATCTTTGGAAGGGGA